TGTGCGGCGGTGAGTGTTGTCTTGATGTGAAACCAGTATCTGCTGCCATTAAGCAGGCCTGTAGACTGAAAGCCATTGGACTAAATTCTGTGCTGACTTACATCAGTGATTGATTTCCGCCACTGACATCAGTGAGTTTACACGGAGTGACCAGTAAGCCAACCCAGAATTTGGCTCACTATTTCCCCAGTCTATTGAATTATCCCTCCTGTGCAGTGAAGTGGGATTGCACATATTTGCTTTTGTATGGCGTGCTTCAAAAGGAGGCTTGGTGGAAATGAGTGCAATTCTGTCTCCTGATAGTGGCATTATGATTGGGGCAACCGTCATTTTAATTCAATGAGGTATGCAAGGATGGTAATGTGGACACCCTGGAATTACCTAAGTAGACGAAATTAGAGTATTATGGGGGTGGTGCAGTAATGGTTATGCCACAGTAGTGACTTCAGAAGCACAGCGGCTAAAGAAAGAAGGGACTGGCAGCAGCACTGGTAGCAGTAGTGTAGTTAGTGTAAGCCACAGAGCTAGAAGGATTACAGGGACAGAACTCAATGCTTCCCTCTATAGGAGGAAGGGGAAAGTCAAGCTGCTGGCAGGCTTTATTTACATAAATCATAATTTCGCATACCCATAGTTGCATGTAGTGTGTTGCGTTGCATTCTTTTGAGTTTATATTTTGATCTGATGAATGCTAATAGTTTGTTAATATAACTGTATTCAAGAAAGGGCACATGAATTGTGTATAAAGTTGGTCACCCTCAGCTGGCCTTTGGCCCCTAGGCGAGAGGTGTTTGGGTAATCTCTGCACGCTGCCTCTGCCCCCAGTGCTGGCTCTGCAGCTCCCATTGGCCAGGTACCTCAGCCAATGGGAGCTGCGGGAGTGGTGCCTGCGAGCACGGGCAGCATGCACCGCGCAGAGAAGACTGGCCCCTCTGCCTAGGGGCCGGACATGCCGTCCACCTTGGGGAGCAGAGCAGCGCGGAGCCAGGGCAGGCAGGGATCCTGCCTTAGCCCTGCTGCACAGCTGCCCAGAAGCTGCCCGAGGTAAGCTCCTCCCAGCTGGAGCCTGCACTCCACACCCCCTCCTGCACCGCAATCTCCTGCCCCAGCCCTGAGCCCACAACCCCACTCCAAACCCCCAGCGGCCCAACAAAATCTAATAGCCCCGGGCCCACAGGAGAGTTAATCCAGCCCTGGGTGGGAGATGTCTCTCCTGATTTTTCTTTTCATGTTAGTGCAATACTGATGCTGTGGTCCTAGTGAGTCAAGAAATGCCCCTCTCCCTTCAAAAGGCCAGGTCTGGAATGCAGATGGTTCACAGAAGGGATCATTAATGTATTGTGCCATGGTGCTGATGCTTCCCTTTGTTTTGTTACTAATTAATTATCCTGGTTTTCAAATGGCTGGCTCCTAGGTGTCAAAGGGTAACTGGTACAGATAGCAGAAAGCTAACACTAACTTCACTTCATTTATTTTTTTTTTTTGGAAACTTAAAAATTCCAATCTTGTTACATTAAGCTAAGTCATGCAGAAATGCACCAGCTGTTCTTTGGATAGTGGAAGCCAAATTCAGCATTACATTCTTTTTTCTTTGTTTTTCAGAGGCCCATTCTAAAACTACTTGACACATTAAGTAAGGGAATCTTATCTGCGCTCTCCTTCCATTTATTTGATTTTCCTAACTTATTTCTTAAGGTGGACTGTTTCCAGCACTTAGCAAGAAAATAAAATAAAAAAAAGTCAATGAATTCATTTACAGGCTGGTTATTCAGCCTCCCGCTGAAGTGGGGAGGCTCACTGGTGTTGAGGGAATAATTATATCTTCATACCCCATTCTCCTGTGATGGATGCGCTGCTCTGGACAGTCATAACCCAGGGATCGTTCTGACCAGGTGAATGAAATCAGATTACTGGACTCTTCTTTTTAATGAGAGTTCTCTCTGCTGGCATGTTTGCTGAACCTCCATGGTCCCTTTGCCTCCAAGGAGGAGATTAGTGCTCTCTTCTGCTCCCTGTGGAAGAGCCTTTTGCAACTTATCCTTTTCCTTTGGAAAATAAAATCCCCATTATATTTTCCCCTGTTTACTTTATCCCACCAGCTTGGCTTCCATTTGGAAGGGAGAGGATCTTCACTGGAGCACGTTAGAGAGGGCTGGAGACTCCCATTACTTATTAGCAATAGCTGCTGCTGACGTCGGGCAGCCAAACCTGGAGCCGGCCCTGGCCAAAGGGCTCCTGCCCCCACTCCCACACTCGGAAGAGGAAATTTGCATTTGGAATGGCGGGTACCACTTGAAGGACATTCCTCTAGCAGACAAGGTTTCCCCCAGCACTGAACAATGGAGACCTGCTTCTGCACCCAGCAGCTCAGCTGTCTCCTGTTTCCCTGCACAACATGTTGGGGACACAGCACAGAGTTCAGCAAGGCAGTTTAAACAGCTGACATTGGCCTGCCTCTCATTGGATCACCATCACACCCTCATTACAGGGCTCCATGGTGCTGACGTACAGTTTGGGATGGCCTTTGGCACAGCAGCAGAACAATTTGTGAACCAACACTGCCAGTTGGCTCTCGCATCAGCGCCTGCTTGAAGGGATCACCTCTGTGTCAGCAGCAGGTAGCTCTTGAGCCGGTTCGTTCAGGACAGCAATCATTGTTTGTGTATGTGCAGTGCCCAGGGCAATGGGGCCTGACCTGGGTACTAAGATAATGCTGCTGATCATTTCAGATCTCAGGAGGAAAGGGCTGCTTTGAACCTCTTCTGTTTGCTGTTTCTAATTTCTGTAACAGGATTCCCCAGAGCCAACATTCAGTCCAACTACTGCTATTTAAACACGAGGTATAAAGGCTTGAGTGATATCACTTTAATAGGACAAGGAACTGAATGTTAAAATCAGGGGCTTCCTTGAGGGGTCAGAATGTCAGGCATAGATTGCACACATGGCGAACATGAAGTCAGGGTGTGTCCTTGCATCTGCCTAGAAGCAGCATGCGGTACACAGCATATACAGTTCTGCTGTGCCGCCTGCATTTGCACCTTGAATCTGCAATATTTCAATGATGAATGAGGCAGTTTTAGGACAACTTATTTATCTGACTAACAAGAAATACAGTAAACCCAGCTGTATTTAGTCTTTGCAATGGGATCCCATCTCTGAGTATCAGAGTCTTAAGCTGGTCATGAGGAAATGTGGCATTGCATAGTGCCCTTCCTGCTGAAGTTAACCCTTTATAGCACAGAAATTATGTTTGGGAAGGCCATAATGCATATATACATGCATTCAAATTATGCTGACTCCTTTTCATAAGACTGTGTAATTTATGAGTTGGTATTTTTTTATTCATCCACCTTTCATTAGAGGGATTTGTCACTGTTATTAGTGTTTTAAATCAAAGTGTTTTTAACTTAAAAGACAAAGCTATAAAAAAAGTCAAAATCAGATGATTGGTGTAGGTCACTTGAAGGTTACAGCTGAAGTCTAAACTGAACACATTATCAATGATTGCACTAGGTATCAGTCTGTAAATTACTGTATTGTGGCCTGGTGGACTATTTTGATCTTCATATGCTAATTTTAATTGGCTAGCCATTCCATCTCTCCCTGCATACAGTCTTGTTAACTCATGAGAAAGGAGTGGACGGGCTAGCAAATCAAAAGCCTAGGTACTTAGTGCAAACAACATTTTATAATAATTCAAAGAATATGAAAACATTCACAACTCTGATGCTGCCTCTCCTGTGTGCCAAAGACTGTGTTGGGAACAAAAAATGACAGAGTTTTGAAAGCCTTTTCTCTGTCAAAAATTGTAAAGAATATGCAAATGGGCCCCAGCACAAGTGTAATACGATTGCTGCATGTTTAGAAGGATGTCATTTAGGCCCCAATCCAGCAAGGTACTTAAGCACGTGTCTGATTTTAAGCATGCAAGTAATCCTATTGAAATCACTGGAACTATTCATGTGTTTACAGTTAACCATGTGGTTAAATACCTTACTAAATCCAGGCTGTGACAAACAAAGGGGTGGGGGAGCTCCCTTTTATGGACACCCAGCCAGCCAGTTAGCTACAAAATCCCTATTAGCAGCTGGTCTCCACTTGATTTACCTGTAAAGGTTTAAAAAGTCCATAGGTAAAAGGGAGGGAGTGGGCACCTGACCAAAACAGCCAATGGGAAGGCTAGAACTTTTTAAAATTGGGAAAAAAACTTCCTTTGTCTGTCTGTGTTGTTCTCCTGGAGAGCAGAGACAGGGATGGAACTATGCTGTGAAAAGCCTTGGGCCAGGTATGAAAATCATCAGATCATACCTAGAAACTACTCTTTTGAAACCCCAGATATGTAAGTAGATCAGGAAATGTCTAGGAAGATGCGATTAGGTTTATCTCTTTTATTTCTTTATGGCTTGTGGATTCCTCTGTGCTTACCACTGGTGCTTTTGTTTTGCTTGTAACCTTTAAGCTGGACCTCAAGAAAGCTATTCTTGATTCTTAATTTTTGTATTTGCTTTTCCCCGGAAGATGCATGGGTGAAAGGTTGGATACCTTGAGGGTATCCCACAGGAAGGAATTCCCAAATGCACCTTCCTGAGTTCTCAAAGGGGTTTTTGCATGTGGGTGGTGGCAGCATCTACCCATCCAAGGTCGGAGAAAAGCTGTAACCTTGGGAGTTTAATACAAGCCTGGAGTGGCCAGTATTCATTTTTAGAATCCTTGCGGTCCCCCACCTTCTGCACTCAAGGTGCCAGAGTGGGGAATCAGCCTTTACACAGGCCTTGCTGCCTTTGCACTAGAAATGCAGAAAGATACATTTGTGGTTACTGCCTGACTACAATAATACTTACAAGTGACCAATGATGTCCATAGCCAGCAAGAACTTTCTCACTCTTGAGTAATACAGAGTATGTTTTAATGCAGAATGCATGAAAACCCTTGTTCAGTACAGTTTCTAAATGAGTTTCTTGCAATTTTTTATTTTCTTTTTTTTTCATAATTAGAAAGGTCTCTTACCTAGAAGTTTACCTGGGATGAAAGTGAAGCAAAAGAATTTATCATGGATAAGGTGGGTCTAGCAGTTGTGTAACATGACAAGGAAAACAGAACCTTGTTTCGCGGATCTTTTGGTCTGAGGCACTTAACTCCAGTTGCAGTACAATAGATATTTTATTTTATCGGTGTAGGTAAATGAAGTGCTTAATATGTAATGAAAGAGGTGCCGGGACTCAAGCAAATATTTTACTTTCATAACTGGCGCAGCAAGACCAGAGGTTCCGGGGCTATGAACTGCCAAGCCTGGAGGTGCTGGGGCTCTGCCCTGGCACAAATTAAGCCCTGGGTAAATGTCATTAGAATGGCCACACATTCTTCTTTCTGTAGCTTCCCCAGGAAGCTTAGGTTTAAATCCATCATACGCAATGAACTCCGTATATGTGCCAATAATATTCTTAATCATTATTAAATTTTCTCTTGAGCCGATTTGCTGCGTGAATATTGCTCGGCATGCCTACAAAGCTCTAATTGTTTGTATATTTGGTTTGCTTCCGTCTAACTTTAAATAAATGTGTATGGGAGTGTGAAGGAGTGAGAAGCACAGTGGGGAAAGTAACTGAAATACTTCCCTGATAGATTGTATTTTCTAAATGAACAACCTACCCTAATTCTCAATTACTGAGGGACAATCTTCACTCATTGATATATTTTGCTTTCCACGATCAAATCTCTGTATAACTTTTCATGAGTGATGTACCCACATACTGGGATGCTAATATCTAAACTGTATTCTTAAATTTATTCACCTAAATTTGGGTTATTGCGGATTATGTACTCTATGGTATCATATGATTTTTAAAAACAAACTTTGTATTTGTGGATAATCTAAGCACTATACCCAGATGCACAGACACTCTTTTCTCAACCTGTGTATTATATAATTTTAACATTAGCTTTAATAAAAATGTTATGCCTTCACAGGACAGGCCGGAGCCTGGGGTGTAATCAAGGAGGCCTTGCCCTAGGGCTAGGCTATATAAATAGGAAGAAGTACAGGAAGCTAAGGGGGAGAGAGAGGGGAGTAGAAGACCTGCGGGCTGCAGTGGGTGGTGGCTATTTTCTCTTAGGCTCTAGGCCTACACTGCAGACCCGCAGCGGGGCTGTGGCTGGCTTGGGTGGGAGCCTGGGCTCTGAGGCTCCATTGGGGGGGGGGTGGGGAGGGGCTCCAGCCCAATCCCGAACATCTACATTGCTGTTTTTAGCCCTACAACCTGAGCTCTGCGAACCCGGATATGCTGACTTAAGCTCTGAGACACAATGCTGTGGGGGTTTATTGCAGTGTAGACATACTGTAGGTCAAGGAGACCAGCCTAACCAGAGGTTTTGTTTGAACCATAACCCACAGTACTCGAGTGCAAGGGGGTGCCCAGGGACAGCCCACACCTTTACAGGGAGTCTGCACTGCATAAGCATTTAAACACTTGGCTATGCAGACGTTTTGATGTTAATCACGCTTCATCCCTTTTGGAAAAGAAATCCTGATGACTCTCAGCTCTAAGTGACATGTCTGTGATTGATCAAATGCTTTCAGTTATGTTCGTGGGTGTGAGACTGCCGTCATACATTTCAAAACCCCGTCAATAAGAAGAAACATTTTATCCCTTCTCAGACTGTGACAAAAATTTCACCAAAAATGCAGATTCAGGTTTATTTGGACAAATTGTTTTAGTTAGGGGGAAAAAACCTGAAAAAATTCAAAAGTGTATATATTGACCTTTCCAAAATGAAATATTCAGACTTTTCATTTTGGAAAGATGTTTAGTTTTGGCATTTTTCTCAATTGTATTTTAAAAAAATATATTAAAAAAACCCCCTCAAGACTGAAATAAAATATTTAGTTTGGGATTGACTGAAATTTTTTGTTGGACACAAAACAAAACTTTTTAAAACATTTTGTTTTGCCAGAAAATTCAAAACATTTTCATTTCAGTTTGCCCTTCAGTAGTTCTTTTAATTTTATTTTTCAGTTCAGCCACCAAACTAAAATATGGTTATTCGCACAGCTCCAGTGGCAAGTCCCTCTATTTTCAGTGTACAGAAGTCTCTTTTCAGTGCAGAGATGGCAGAAGGCGCAATGAAGATGCAATAGAAAGCAGAGAGGTTGAATGGGAGTTATTGGGGAGCCATTCGAGGGAATAGGAGGGTGAGAGCAGAAGTGGAGCAGGAAGCTGGATCTATAAAATAACAAAACAAGTTATAATATATGGTGCTGTAATTCCATCTTGGGGTCCTCAAACATCTGAGTATCCCTTTTGTAGTTTATGATAGAATTATAGCCCCATTAATAACAGTTGCTTGTTATTTATTGTATATCATAAAGTTTGAATCTACTTTTCTAGGAAGAACTTTTCTTCTCTCTCTCTCTTTGCTGGGTTGTTTTGTTTTTCTACCAAATGTTGCATACTGTAATTTAAAAAGAAAAGAAAAGAAAAGGATGATAAAGTGACTGTAAGTGTGTCTCTAGGGGGGATGTATTTGATTGATTAATGTGCCTAAGGGCCAGATTTTCAAAGGACCTTCCGATTTGTGTTTATGCAAAACTGACACTTTATTGAAGTTGGGCAGTTGTGTTGTGTAGTGACCTATAAGTGCATGCAAATACCTATTAGCATGTGCATGCAAGTGTGTGCGCACAAACTGGAAGCTTTTTGAAAATCAGATCCCAGCATGATGTTAGCATTAGGTAAAGAGCTAAGTCATGATGAGGTTAGTAATACTGACCAACTCCTAACTTTTTATTTTGACAGATTCCTGTGGTGTGATTAGAATATTGACCAGCCTGGATACAAGCTCACAGACAGATTTGACTGTTGTGATGTTGTGAGTGTCCTGGCCTCTGCAGTGCCAAAGGGGTTCTGCAATCAAGTCCTTCTGTCAGTGGGAAACAGTTCTGTTTTGCCAACCCAAAGCATTCAAACTTCATGAGTCAGGCCCCCTAAAATCATGACATTAGCTTAAAATAATGGTTAAAAAAATGAACAATTGCATTGCTTTTCCCCTGCCCGCTAACTGATCACTCCAAATTCACTTGTGACCATTTCAGGTTCAAAATTCAACCTTACATGTACACAGAATGAATTCCCAAGTCTGCAGCCTCCCACTGGCTGTTTCAAAAGGGATTTGCACTTACCCTCTAACTCCTGAGATGGGGAGCTACAATACTTTACTTCTTCAGACTCCTCCTTCCCCATTGTGCCAGCCCGTCCTCACTTCCTCCTGCCCTCCACCCAGTCTCCTTCTCCCTTCAAGTTTTCCTTCTGTGCTGTCCTGCTCTTCCTTTCCCCACTCCTGCCTGCCTTTATCCACCTGCCTTTGGATCCATGGCTATGCAACGGACAACCCTCTTCCCCACAGAGGCAGAATGCAGCTGAAATGAAGTCCGTGGGTTTGCCCGGGGTGGGGAAGGGATTCTGTTCTCCTGATACCCAGTGATCTCTACACCCCATAGCCTGGTTATTCACGCTGAATCCATAGAAGTGAATTTGGTTCTTAGCTGTCACTGCCAAAAGCTGAATATGTGGTATACTGGTTCAGATCCAGAAATTAGCATTTTTCAGTGGTAAACTTTACAGGATTAATTTCTAAAACTCACTGACATTCCATGGGAGTATCAGCAGAATTCTAACAGAAGCCAGGAGGAAGGCCTGTGTGCATTGCCTTTGCTTGCCAGCATCACCTCTGAAATATGTGTAGGATTAGCTTCTCTCACACAAGCCGACTTCCTGCAAGCTCCTGATGGGCAGATTCATACACTCCGCAAACTCTTGCAAAGTATGTGATTTCCACAGAAGTTTGATCTCTGTGAGGCTGATGTAGTACGTTGGTTAACATGTTATTTCTGAGAGGTGGTGTAGGAGGGGAGAGGTTATAAAAGAGTCTTCTTGATTTCATTACTTTCTTTCCCCCCTTATCCCATGTGCCAAGAGCACTTAGCCGATTCACAGTCCTTGACTGGCATGCAAGTTTTAAGAGAGAGAGAGAGAGAAAACCAAGGGAATCCATTAGAAATTGCTTCTGCTAGCTCATTAATCTTTTACCACAAATAATACATGCAAAACTTGAGCTAGCAAAGTCTCCAAAGAATAACATTTTTTGTGGGGTTATAACAAATTAAAGAAATAAATTAAGTCACCAGCCCAGCAGGGAAGTGCTTGAAACCTCCAGGCTTCATGTGTTTTACTATTCTAAAAATAAATAAAAGACATTTCAGTTGAAAAATTATATTTATTTTAAATGTCCATGTTGGGTTTTGCTGCAGCCCAGCTCCTCGCAACCTCCTGCTTTACCCTCCCCCACAGCTGGAGTTTGGAAACTGAGGGAAGAAAATGACGGCATGAAGACTGACAGACAAGCTAGCCAGTGGAGGTCAGTGGATGCTCTTTATTAGCAATGGGCTGTAAAGAAAAATTCAAACTAGAATGCTTGGGAGCAGAACTGTGTACAGACCCCCTGATCCAGCAAACTACTTAAGCATGTATCCAACTTTCAGCATGTGAGTAATCCCATTGAAATCATTCAGATCACTCATGCTTGAAGTTAGCCAGGATGCTTAAGAACCTTGCTAGAATCAGGGACCTAGGACCCAATCTGAATCCCATTCAATCAATGGAAGGACTCCCAGGGCCTTCAGTGGGCTTTGGTAATGGTGGTTGGTGCCCAAAAGAATTGGTAGGGCTGCAGCTGGGAAGCTGCCTTGTGCCCACGGGCTGTACTTTTACTGCAGCTTAGTCATATTTTCAAAGTGCAATACTGGGCCACAGGGAAGTGGAAGAAAAAGGGGTTCCCTCTTTCTTCTCCCCCTCTTTCAGAATTAAATATCAAGACACTTTACAGACAAGGTCAGGGCGGGGGGGAAAAACAATATTTATCCCTCTGTTCACTGTTCTCTCCTAAAACCAATTTCAACCCATCCAATCTAGCTGCTACCTCACTATCTTCTCCCTCAGCATCCCTTCCCCAGTGCATGCCACCAATTCACCCAAATCCTCTGTCACCAATTGACTTCCTTTCCTCCCTGCATTCAACCTGGCAACGCAATCCAATCCTCACCTGGGAAAGGACTACTATATTCCATATCTTTTTAGCGTGTCTGCACTGGTGCACCTGTTATCTTTACAAGCCAATTGATCTGGGGGGCAGTTATCATTCAGTGATAAACAAAGCTCTAGGGGGAAATTTTCAAAGCGCTTAGATGCCTAACTCCCACTGAATTTCATTAGGAGTTCGGTGCCTACCTCTCACTTATGCCTTTGAAAATCTCCCTCCACTCCCACCAAGTGTCCATACTGAAACTATATATAATTTCATACAAAAAAAACTGATGTTAAAAGGAAATTTATTGAAGTTACACAGTCAGGCACTCATAAGTTAGGAAATGCCAGAATTAAGGTTGCTTGTGCACTCTTCATTTGGCTCCCTTGTGCATCTGCATTATGATATAGTCTTTAACTACATGATCACATGCTATGTTTTCCGCAGGACACCCATCGCATTTAGTGCAGGGGATGGATTTCACTTGGTAAACAGCTATTCAAGGTATTATTTGGTCCTTATTGTTCAATGTGTGGCCCCAGGCCATATTTATTGCAAACCATGCTCTAAAGACAGAAATATTAATTTCCTCATGAACTTTTCTGTCTCTCATCGTTATAGTAGCAGAGTGCTTCACAAATATTAATTTATTTTCACAGTATGGGGAAAACCATGTATTTTTCACTAGCCTAATTCTCAGAAATGGCTGAACTATTTTGGCTAACATTTTGCAAACTATTAATCCTGAGGCAGACACCTGGCATGGAAAATTTCAGTCCAAATAGTTAGTTTGGTGAAGTTAAAAACAACTGAAAAGGGGTCTTATAATGGAAAGTGTTGGGAAATCTTAATCTTAGGTTATGCTATTAGACGCCTCTATAATAAAAATACACAAATGGTGAGTAATGCAGTCTTCCTAAACCCATGCCTGTCCCAACTTTACTCCATGACACCATTGCTGCATCATTTTTCAGTAGATACAATACTTGTGGTAAATTATAGAGCCCTTTGATAAATTGTGTACAATGTAGCACTGTGACTACTTTGCCTGCCTTTGGATTTATTCTGACATTCCAAATCCCTGAGCATTTAACACCACCATTTAAAGCAAAACAAAACCAAACCAACCTACTAGAGAGATGTTCTATTTTTCCCAACAAATGTAGAATTACTCCTCATCCACTGTCCCCAGTTACACTGGTCTGAGACTCAGGACAGGCAAGGTTCTCTCTTGCAGCATTGACTGGCTTAAGGTCTGGTATTTTATGACTTCCCAATGCTCTAAACAAACTTCATGTGATTGAAAGGGAAGAATCTCAGCTCTCCCATGGTACCAAACAACATCTTCTAGCCCCAGGAGTTCCCAAGCTATCAGACTTTTAAATAATGACTTTTTAAAAAAAATAGGAAAGCTATTTGAGGTTGTGTTTAGAGTAGAGCAAGTCCTTTTTTTTTTTTTTAGGCAATAAGTAAATTCACGGACAAGTACATTTTTGGGGGGCACCAAAACTATTAGTGAATGGTTAATAGTTTTGGCTGAAAAAAAAATGATATTTTTTTAAGTCAAATGGTTCATGTCAGTCATTTTGAACCATTGGGAAATATGGTCACCCTATGTCTCATATTCTGTGTATCTCTCGACCCGCCATAATGAGACTCATCACTTTCAAGGTGGTGATAAAAGATCACCATAATTCGCCACCAGTAAAGGCCCTGATACTTGCTGCCAACCTAAAGAAGATACAATATGCCAGGCCATTGTCTCAAGCAATGCAGAAAAAAGCAACCATTTAATAATTTAATATTTTGTATTGATATTGTGGTATTTATTTATTATGGATCTCCTCCCCTCCTCCTCCCTCCCTCCCCCGTGGTATGTTTGATAGGAAATAGATGTGTTCTGTATAATAGGTGCATAGTCTTGTGGTGAAGGGAGCAAGAGATCTGGGCTCACTGAGGCCTGGTCTACACTAGGGGGGGCGGGTCGATGTAAGATACGCAACTTCAGCTACGGGAATAGCGTAGCTGAAGTCGATGTATCTTATTTCGACTTACCTCCCGTCCTCACGGTGCGGGATCGACGGCCACGGCTCCCCTGTCGAAGCCGCTACTGCCGCTCGCCCTGGTGGAGTTCCGGAGTCGACGGGAGCGCGTTTGGGGATCAATATATCACATCTGACGAGACGCGATATATCGATCCCCAATAGATCGATCGCTACCTGCCAATCCGGCAGGTAGTCTGGACGTACCCTTACATTCCACATGACTTCAGACAAGTCAGTGAATCTCTCTGTGTGTCCCACCTGATGATATTATTTCTCTGCCCCCAGGAATGTTAACTGGATAATTTCACAGGTGTTTGTGGGCACTGAGATATTGCAGTGATGGGGGGCATATAAGTACCTAGAGAGGGAGGACAGACGTACATTAATTAATCTGATTAAGGACTAATATTTAACTCGGCTACACTCCCAAACCAATGTCAACGAGTATATTCCAATCATGTCCTTTAGCTTTGGAATTTTGTTTATGCTGGGGAATTTTGCGATTCCCTTTGTGGTTTATTTTGATTCCTTGTTTTTCAGTGTCTCTGAAAAGAAAGGATTTACAAACAAGAGCAGCACAAAAGCTTCAATCAACTCCCACTGTCAATGGTGCTCCATCCAGAGAACATCACCTGCTACTGATTTACAGTTTTAAGTGAGTCAAGGTATTGAGGCTAGAAGAACTGGAAGGGGGATAGTTAAACTCTATGCGAAGTTTGGAAAACAGTGTAATGTATCCAACCAATTCCTACTATCCTAATTTAGGACACATGTACTGCAGCTATTAACTGGCCAACTTGGTTAAGCCACTGTAAATCTTAATTCCTATCTGAGACAACACCCTTCACTAAACCCAACAAAAGTTTTCTTTTGTGTTTGTTTAGCCATGGATTGTCCGTTCATGTGCCCGTCATGGAGTCACCAGGGCGATGCTCTGGAACTACTCCCTATGAAGCTAGTCAGGACTCTGGGGGAGCCTCCTCTCTCTGAGCATACTGTCTCCAGGGGCAAGAAGTTTACACAGCTTCCATCTTCCTGGGTCTGACCTTGGAGCATTCAGCATCCCCTTCCACACCGTGTGCTTCCTGTAGCACGTCCGCCCGGGCAGGGCTCCTGGGGAAGCCAGAGGGCCCTGTACCCCAACTCCGCAGTCAGATGTGACTCTCAGCCAGCCGGTAAAACAAAAGGTTTATTAGTCAACAGGCATACAGCATAGGGCAGAACTTGTTAGCACAGAAATCAATGACTTTCAGCCAAGTCCATCTTGGGGGGAGGGGAGCCCAGAGCCAAGGCTCTGGCCCTCATCCTGTGCCCCAAGCCAGCTGAGACTGACTCACTGCCAGCTGCCTGGTCCCTGCCCTTCCCGTTGCTCCTCCTCCGGCCTTTGTCTCGCTTCCCGGGCCAGAGTCACCTGGTCCCATCCCTCTCCTGGGTCTCAGGTTACGAAGGGGCAGCCATAGCATCCATACAGGCAGTTGGAGAAGCCTCCATAAAAGTCTCACACAGCATCCATGCAAAACAGCAAGACACACACAACATAATAAGGGGAAACCCCACTTCGTCACAGTGCCATGCAAATTGGCTGGGAAAATACCTCTATATAAATGTATTATATAAAAATATAAATTTACTCTAAAGAAATCCTTTTTTATTAGGCAGCTTTTCCAGTTCTGTGATCAACTTTTTCTTTTCCTTCAACTGAGGCCTGTATTTATTCTTTTTAAGTACAATAATTGAATTAAAAATCTGATCAGCACCTATTTGATGTTGAAATTATTTTTTAAATATAACAGTATTGCTAAAGGAACTTAATATAATAAAGGACGATCTTATTATCTGAAAACTTTCCACTAAGAGGATTTGGCATCTAAAAAGTGAGTTGCTGAAATTGTGCTCTAAACTCATAAACACCACTTATACTGGGTCTGAAAGTTATTCCAAATGTGGCTGAGAAGATTCATCTGGATATTAAAAATAGAACTGCTTGACGTTCAAGAGTAAAATGTTCAGAAGCACCTAAGTCCCATTTTCAAAAGTAACTTAGGAATTTAGGAGGCTAAGGGCCAGTTTTTTAAAGGTATTTATGTGCCCCCCCTCAAAAAAATGCATATCAGTGCCTAAATACTATAGAGTTCAAATTCTTTTGACTTTCAATGAGATTTAGGCTCCTAAATCAATTTTGAAAATAGGACTTAAGCTCCTAAATCAGTTAGGTATTTTTGAAATTTTTACCACTGGTTACAATAACTACTTCAGAGATCACCTCACCTCACTTCTCATTCATATTGTTCCTGGGTCCAAACCTGCCTTCCGCAACATAGGTGCAACTCCTCTGGGAGTCATTGGGAATTGCACCTGGGTAACTGAGGACAGAAACCGGGTCCCTTGTGACACTGGTAAGTAGCCATGATGATGACTTATTAAATTATTGACAAAGGGCCATGGATGTCACACAGTACTATAGCTGTAGGCAAAAAGATGTGGGCCCTGCCGCAGGGATCTTAAAATCTGTCACAATGAAGAACACAACAAAATGAAAATAGACAATGGTATGTTGCTTAACAATCAGCCATCAGAAATCAGGATGGTTGGTGAACTCTTTGATTTATTCCATGGCCTTCCAGCTCCATCTGACTGTTAAAGCTTCTGGCCCAGTTCCTCAAAGGTATTAAGGTGCCTAACTTCCATTGACTTCAATGGGGCATGCTTTGACCCCTAGCCTGGGAAGTAACGTAGTCACTCACATACTAATTCACATCATCTCATTGACTTAGTTATCTCAATGTCCATTGTGACATTCTATACCTTGGGGGAGCATCCTAGAACCCCATATTCCTCATTTTTATATAATCATGATCTTTCATATAAAGCATGCCTTGTAAGGCATCAGGGGAAAGGTTATGATCTGCTGAAAATCATTTCTCTATCCATAGATGTGTATCATTAATGCACATGAAGTTATGAGAATTGTGTTGTCTGGTGGTCACTAAAACATGCTGTAAGTTGGGGAATCAGCCAGATATTAGCTCCCCAGAGGCAACAACATCAAGGAAAGTAACCAACGGCCGGGCGGTGTGTCAAACAACCCATCAACAATCATTGTCCAGCAAGGGAGCTACAATGCAATGACTCCCCTGCATGGGGCCATACCTGGGGAATTGCTCAGCCTGGCTGGGAGACTCAGCAGTGCCCTAGACATGCCTGGACTTGTGTTTTCCAAGCACATGGACTGAGGGTATAAAACAGACAGAGTGGCCATATGCTTGGCCCATCTCCTGCCCCCACCTGCAGTGTAAACAACTAAGGCACTGAGAAGAAAAGACTCCAGCAGAGCAGATTGGTCCGGGTTTAAGGAACAAACATGTATATTAAGAACTGCACTCTCCAGTGGGGTGAGAAAAGCTGCTTACTTGCCCAGTCTAACAGGGTTGAGAGTTTAGACTCCGTGCTTATATTTTATTTCTGTTGGTAACTCACTCTGACTTTTTGCCTATCACTTAATATCACTTAAAATCTGTCTTTTATAGTCAATAAATTTGTGTAACTGTTTATCTTTACCAGTGAGTTTGTATGAAGTGTGGGGCAAATCTGCTCACGTTTGACAAAGGCTGGTGTATGTCCACTTTCTATTGATGAAGTGGTGAACCAATTAATAAATCTGCATTGCTCGTCTTGAGCAGTGCAGGACGGTATATTCCTGAGGTACAGTGCTGGGAGCTGAGGGGATTTGGCTCTGGTGTCTTTCTCTATGTGATTCATGAGTGGCTCTGGGAGCATTCATGCAATACAGCTAGATGTGGGGCTCCACATGCTGTTGTGTTGAGTGATCACAGCACCTGGAGGGGTTTGCTTCTGGTCATTAGCAAGGCATTGTGAGAGAGAGCCCAGGCTAGAGAGAGTTCAGGGGGCACAGCGGGGGGATCCCATCACATCCATAACATTATATAGGCTTACACATGTTGGGCCAAGGATAGCAAAATAAAGATGGTGGGAAAGGGAACTGGCATTTCTCCATCCGTAGCGGATTGTGTGCGTTGTATATTTCACATGTGTCATGTTGATTTAATTTGAATAGTTAATTTTTTTTGTTTTAAATTTGTTGTTTAAATAGATTTAATGAGCCAAACCCTGCCTGTAGCTGGGCACCTGCTACTCTGACTTTAATGAGGGCTGCAAGTGCTCAGTGCTTCTCCGAATGTGGCCCATATCATTTAAACGTTAACCAACGTGCGCTGCCACAGAGCTCACTTGTATTTACTTGAACTATATTCTGTCTGTTTAGAAGCTAATATGCAGACAAATATTTGAGAGCGATTTGATTTTCATGGCAGAAATATTCACACTGAATGTCTGGCACAAATGATATTACATGTGAGGGGTTAGAAATCATCACTGTGCTGTATTGTATAGACATGAAAATGTCCAGAGCTCTTTTGGACTTAGGCAAAAAATGTACTCAAAGTTTTGTGAACTTATCTTCGGTTTCAAGCAAAATTTTAGCTTGGGCTCTCTTCATTTGTCTTCACTATGAGCTATTTGTGAATATTAAGCTGCTGTAAGGACAACAAACAGTACTTAGGTCTCAGAAGTAGTTACAGTTATAGAATGGTTTATCTTTAAAAGGAACGGAATTTACTTATGTTCTCATCCCAAAGATATGCAAGGGAGATGGTGCTAAGCCAAAAGAAAGTGATGGAAACCTGGTTATTTGAATAGTCACAGTGATAACAGAAGCTACTTAATTTTACTTGGGCCTGAATTCTTTGTTTTACTCGTCCATACAGCAAAAGTCTGTACTGTGTGTAATATCTTATAATGTACAGTAGGCTTTCAATGTTAAAAATTGCTTTCTAGTCTGCACACTGCAGTAAAAGCTGGTTATAATAGTTCCTGTACACCTAGTAATAATATTGCTTTACAAAAAGAGTGCCATCTAAACTGGATCACAGATTTTTAGGCATTATAGATGAAGAAGACCTATTACATCACCTGCAGTAGGCCATCCCTCGATAATGCAAGATTACTCCCTAGAGTATACTGAGTGCTTTGTATAGTCTAGATGTAAATTACTTAGCAAAGTGGGGGAGGCTACCATTGCTTCCCATGTGGGGGTTATTCCATAATCTAGCAGGCATCATTGATAGGATCGTTCCCATCTATTCTATCTTAAATGTCCTTTCCCCCCATGTCTGCTATCTATGCTCTCTTGGACAATAGTTCCTCTTCTGCTTTGGGTTTTTAAAGACTTTAGTAAATGTAGCCAGTTATCATATTCCCTTCTATTGCCATAATTTAGCCATAATTCTTCATTTGTCCTTCTAACTTTGTCATCTGTTCTTTCATTGTTATTCCTGGTGACATCTTTCAAGCACTGGACAAGGCCAGAACTGAATGTAGTAAGCTCAATGTGGTCCCATCAGAGCTGTTAAGAGGAGCTATAAATTCCATGACCTGGTTCTGCATATGCAGCTCAAAATCATATTGGCTCTTCCTATTGTAATCTCACAACCAATTTGCTGCCCACTGTCATGACTAGGCCTTTTTCAGCATCACTAATTTCTAAATACAGGAAACCTCCCTGCGACCGTTAACTAAACTTGAGCTATCTGAAGGTTACTTATGTCACCCAGGATTATTTGCATGCTGCAGAGGAGGCAGGGAACAGGGCATAGACTGAGGTGTTTTGCTTCATGCTCCAAACCAGCGGAAGCTGAGTGGAGGCACTGCTATTAATGGAGCTAGTACAGTGGTGGGCAAACTACGGCCAGCGGGCCACATCTGGCTTGCGGGACCGTCCTGCCTGGCCCCTGAGCTCCCAGCCAGGTAGGCCAGCCCCGGGTCCCTCCCTCACTGTCTCCCTGCCCCCGCAGAGCCACACCGCCACGCGCTCCTGCCGAGCAGAGCGGTAGAGTGTCTGGCTCCAGCCGGCGCGGCAGCCAGACATGCTGCTCTGCATCCTTTGCTCGGCATAGTAAGTGGTAAGTGGGCCAGAGCTGGGGGGTTGTATAAGGGGCGGCGGGGGGGGGGGAGGGCAGTAAGGGGACAGGGAGCAGAGGAAGGTTAAATGAGGTGGAGGTTCTGGGTGGGGGGCGGTCAGGGGACGGGGAACGGGGGGGTTGGATAGGCATGGGACCCCAGGAGGCCTGTCAGGGGCCGGGGGTGTGGATGGGGTTGGGGCAGTCAGAGGCAATCTAGTCTTCTATGCCCAGGGCCCATCTTGAACTCTTCTTGCCCTGAACCTACCTCCACCACCACCCCAGCAGCCTGCCGTCTTCTGGGTCCAGGAGTTCCACTCTTGCAAAGCTTAGCCCTGCAGGCTAATATCTCGCTTTAATAATCCCTAGCTCTTTTATAGCACTTTCCATCTGTAGTTCTCCAAGTGCTTTACAAAGGAAGGTAAATTGCATTATCCCCATTTTACAGATGAGGACACTGAGTCACAGAATGGTGAAGTGACTTGTTCCAGTTGACGCAGCAGGTCAGCGGATCTCTTACCTGTGGTGCTTCCAGACTTCACAGGACTGGAGCTCCCAATGATCTGAATACCTAGTAATCTGAAATCTTTGGCTGTATGCTAAGACCTTCAGATACTCAGTGTTCCCTTGGATTTCCTACCCACTGAACTTGTGCAGTTTGTATTTTTCCTCTGATGAATTAGCCAGCCTTTCCCTGACTTTGATGTTGAATGTTAAAACTCATCATATGACATATCATTAAAAACAATTGGTACCTTGGTTGTCAACAGCATTGATGCCGGATGGAAATTGCCCTTTCAACCAATGATACATGTTGCCTGGACGACCCCAGTGAGCTGCACCCAGGCAAACAATCTCCTCATAACTGAGCTCAAAAGCTGCACATTTTCCCCCAGTTAGATTTGGAGACCCAGCGAAGCCAGTTGGGGGTGGGGTGGAGGTGGGAGAGACGAGAGAGAGAAATAAAAATGAGTCCTGGAGAAAACTTCCCCATACATGGGCTTC